TTGTTTATGTGTGATACACTAGTATTGTTTATGTGTGTCAGACTTGTATTGTTTATGTGTGACATACTAGTATTGTTTATATGTGACATACTAGTATTGTTTATGTGTGATACACTAGAATTGTTTATGCGTGATACACTAGTATTGTTTATGTGTGACACACTAGTATTGTTTATGTGTGTCACACTTGTATTGTTTATGTGTGACATACTAGTATTGTTTATGTGTGTCACACTTGTATTGTTTATGTGTGACATACTAGTATTGTTTATATGTGACATACTAGTATTGTTTATGTGTGATACACTAATATTGTTTGTGTGATACACTAGTATTGTTTATGTGTGTCAGACTTGTATTGTTTATGTGTGACATACTAGTATTGTTTATGTGTGATACACTAATATTGTTTGTGTGATACACTAGTATTGTTTATGTGTGAAACATTAGTATTGTTTATGTGTGATGCACTAGTATTGTTTATGTGTGATACACTAGAATTGTTTATGCGTGATACACTAGTATTGTTTATGTGTGATACACTAATATTGTTTGTGTGATACACTAGTATTGTTTATGTGTCACACTAGTATCGTTTATGTGTGATACACTAGTATTGTTTATGCGTGATACACTCGTATTGTTTATGTGTGATACACTAGTATTGTTTATGTGTGTCAGACTTGTATTGTTTATGTGTGACATACTAGTATTGTTTATATGTGACATACTAGTATTGTTTATGTGTGATACACTAGTAATGTTTATGTGTGATACACTAGTATTGTTTGTGTGTGACACACTAGTATTGTTTATGTGATACATTAGTATTATTTATGTATGTCACACTAGTATTGTTTATGTGTGATACACTTGTATTGTTTATGTGTATCAAACTAGTATTGTTCATGTGTGATACACTAGTATTGTTTATGTGATACATTAGTATTGTTTATGTGTGTCACACTAGTATTGTTTATGCGTGATACACTAGTATTGTTTATGTGTGACACACTAGTATTGTTTATGTGATACATTAGTATTATTTATGTATGTCACACTAGTATTGTTTATGTGTGATACCCTAGTATTGTTTATGTGTGACATACTAGTATTGTTTATATGTGACATACTAGTATTGTTTATGTGTGATACACTAATATTGTTTATGTGTGTCACACTAGTATTGTTTATGCGTGATACACTCGTATTGTTTATGTGTGATACACTAGTATTGTTGATGTGTGTCACACTTGTATTGTTTATGTGTGACATACTAGTATTGTTTATATGTGACATACTAGTATTGTTTATGTGTGATACACTAGAATTGTTTATGCGTGATACACTAGTATTGTTTATGTGTGACTTACTAGTATTGTTTATGTGTGATACACTAGTATTGTTTATGTGTGATACACTAGTATTGTTTATGTGTATCAAACTAGTATTGTTTATGTGTGATACACTAGTATTGTTTATGTGTGTCACACTTGTATTGTTTATGTGTGACATACTAGTATTGTTTATGTGTGACATACTAGTATTGTTTATGTGTGATACACTAGTATTGTTTATGTGTGATACACTGATATTATTTTTGTGTGATACACTAGTATTGTTTATGTGTGATACACTAGTATTGTTTATGTGTGATACACTAGTATTGTTTATGTGTGATACACTAGTATTGTTTATGTGTGTCACACTAGTATTGTTTATGTGTGACACACTAGTATTGTTTATGTGTGTCATACTAGTATTGTTTATGTGCGAGTAATCAGCTCAAAATTAATCAAAAATTCTAGTGTATTTTTCTCTCGTTCATGTTTACTGAATACATTCAATTTCCTCTACTGAACCGTTGCCCTGAAGTTGTTGTACCTGAAATAATGAAGTTAGTGCCAAAATTGGAATTTTATTATTAATGAAACTTAGAAATACGAACTAATTCGGCATGAAATAGAAAAATTTCCAATCGCCATCCCGTGACAGTTTTATCGGCTACAATATCACAGTTCAATAAGGCAATTAACGGTACAAAAACTGGAATTTAAAGAGCTTAAGATTTATTTCAATTAACTTTCACATACAGATGACGGTGTCAGACCGAAAAAAGCAGCGCTTTTGTCAGCAATTCATACAAGATATAGGCGTTGTCATCCTCTGTCGTCTCTTGTTTACTTGCAGAAGACATAACGCTCCCATCCTTCTGAAATCGTAGGATGATAACGGGTAGTAAGCGGACTTCTGTTCGTTTTAATACGAAGTATGTGAACATGAAAAACACTAACGTCCACTTTAAATAAGTTCAATATACATCTCGAGTACTGTACCTTCTGTGGCAATAAACACGATGTGTTGTGTGATTATATAATTGTCGCTTAGGTATGTAAAACAAATTTTAAGCTGATACTATAAATTAAAAGATCACCGCTTTACCGATCTTGCTATCCGTTTATAAAAATGTAAGGACTTGTGTTTGTTTAAGAAAAAAGTCATGAAGTTCGCCCACAACTTTGCACACAAACACCTGTCGTTCTCGTTTAAGAATTAAGGAACGATCAGAGTGTGATATTTTACGATGTACATTTCGTATTCAACCTGTCGATGTTATCCTATATACTTTTACATGGCCAGTGTGTAAACTAGCACTTTATTAAAGTGCGGATGTGGGGTCAAAGTTTTGTTTTGCTTATTGTTTTTTGAGGGGGGCGGCGGTAGAGAATGGTTAACTTACTCTTGCACTTGAATCATATTGACTGTTAAAACTACAAAATACAACACAATGCTTAATATCTGTCTTCGCATCTACTCCCTTGTTTTAACATTGTTGTTTTCTCCTGACATTAAACACGTGTAACATTTGTAAGTGTCCCTCTGTAATATATCGGTAAGCGTATCACTTTAAGATTTGTGAATCAGAAACGTAATCCAAAAACTAAGTACAATTTATGTAAAAATCAACTATAAAATGTCTTATATAGCGCGAACGTTTATATGTGCATTCAAACGTTATATTGAGAATTGGTTAATGCGTTACGCCTTTTAAAATGATAAATATCTCTCCAGTTTTTATGTGCTGAGGAGCTAATACCAAATGACTTGTTGAGAAACACGTGTTTAACCAAGTAAAATGTTCAGATGTAAATCGTGGGTCATTTTATCTCAATGAACTTCACCTGATTTACATAATATCACGAAATTGATACAATAGCGTCATTTTTATCAATGAAAAACGGATTTGAAATCAATTTCGGCTAAGCCGGCTATGAGTTACCTCCCCTGGACTGCCGCTCGCCTACCTCCTGTCTGAGAAAAAGTCAAAGAAATCGCTTGCATGTGTTCACACGAGTAAATAAATCATTAAAACCGCTGCATGTAGATCGTCCGAGATCTGTCAAATTGTGTAAGATGTCAGAACCAATACTTAAGTGATGAGCGAGTAGTCAATAATACAAATTTAGTCTTGTTTTATAAGTCGGTTTATCCCGCTGTTGCTTTTGTATGATTTTGTTACTTCGTTAGAATTCTTCTGTGTTCCAGTTAATACTACAGTTCCTTATCTAACTGTTCTGTAATTGTCAGCATCATGTTTGCCGCCAGAGCAGAAATACTGTGTTAATGTGTATTCGATTAACTATGCAAATGTCAGCGAAAATCAAATCTGTATCTCGTAGTCACTTAGTATCATAAGCAATCACAAAGGAAACACACGTTCATGGATGAAATGAAAACGGTTGATTGTTGAATAAGACGATGAGTCCTTAATAAACCCGAAAGAACACTGTCGTTTCTATTAAGAATATTATATTTATTGTTAAACATTTCATGAACAGCTTTTCACATATCACTGTTTAAAGGGACATCACGTGAAGAGACATACTTTTTTTAATGAATGTATGTATTGTATGCACTTCCACTTATGTTACCTCGCTATCCCTATATTCATAGTCCGTTACAAATGTTCAGTTTGACCACTTGAATTGTTTGGGAAAGCCCTGCTAAATATAGCAGAGTCTCACTTGATATGTTTATGTAGTATTTGAAAACAAAAGACACAAAAATTAGTTACTTCAGCGTGATGCCCCTTTAAAATCAGCAACTCTTAAAAATTCTGTATGTTTGAAACTGACGCCTAAATATCGTTTATAAGAATTAATATCCAAGGTTTCAAATTATTTTGAAAAGTAATTTTCAATTTTACTTATCAAACATTGTTCTGTATCTTTTAATGTCAGATAGATTCGGTGGTCTATGCATACTACCTCTATGGCTTTATAACGTCTCTAGTCTCTTTTATATATCAGTTCTTGACATATTTCTCATTCTTTACGATAGGCCGATCTGATGAAAACGAAATCTGGAAAATATTGATTGTCCGGTATTATTTTGACTCATAGTGGTATAAGAAATAGGAAGGTCCTATATAGTCTTGTTTATTAATTTTCTGACAAATAAAAATGTTTCATATGTCATTTTCGTCGATATTAGTCTAAATGGTTTATATCCCAAATCAACGAGTCTTACATCCCTAAAATTTCTCTTCGTCGCTGCCTGTTTTGAAAAACGAAGCTTGAAGAAAATAAAATTTTGATACAACACCAATCATACATGACGAAACCATTTTTGTTTAGAAATTTATCCTGACAGCTCTATTGATAGTTGATACCTTACCAGTCGTCTAGGCCAATCAGATTAGGGCTCTCTCGGCGAAGCTGTTGATGGACTGGCGTAGCACCGCCTCCTGACCCACTTTACCGCAGTGAACTTGTGTCTCACTAATATCGCTAGATCTCGGGGAACTTACGTACGTAACATGGTGTGGAAGACAGTGTTCCGATTTGACTCTGTTTTGACGGATTATACAAGTTTGATATCGAAATGATGATTTCAAACACAATGACTTAGATATTAGGATTAACACTGTGATTAAGCTTGTGCTGACCAGGAGAATTCGTTTGTCTTTTCACGGAGCTTTTGTGTTTTCATTTTCACAGACAGAGTATACCTCTGCTGGCAGAGCGAACTTGCACCCGAAACGGAGAGAGATTTCATCGGGATCTTGCTCTGCCATCAACTCTATGGAAGGGCATGGGTACTCGCTGTCTTTCTTATCCGCCTATGCCCCCCATTTCTGCATTGGTTTTACTCATCCTGATTGGAATTGGTGTCGATTCGGGTTTGTATTTATTGTGTATTATACACGAACACATGTTCATCAGACGTTTGCTAAGGGGTGCACTTGGCTGGCGGTTCAGTTCCCGTAGTTAGTTACTCGCGTGCTCATAATTGTTTTACGACAGGATCCTTGTTTACGTGTCTTGTCTTAAATATTGTTGTTGAAATATCATTTCATAAAATATTGATGAGATTTGCCAGCTGTATTAAGTAGTATTGGGGGTATACACTGTTTACACGCGAATTATTGATAGAGTTAGTGACAGTTCTGCCGTGTAATGTCAGAACAGCCAGATCATAGCACAAAGTACAGGACCACTACATGTCTTGTAAACTCCAAACTACAACAGCAAACTACATAAGTTATCATAATATTAGATATTGACGCATGGACATGTCATAATCCTCAGATATCAACGGCTAAATATCACACACCAGTGTTGACGCTTTTCTCGTTAATTTTACACCGTCTTTTGAAATTGGTTAATTTATACGAAATTGGAAAAAGTACCGTATTGAAAAACAAATTTACATCGTAACTAATTTGGGAAAAATATCTACACCTTCACTCATTTATTGAATAAGTGCTGTTATTTACCTTGTTAAAACAATCATAGTTTAGATGATATTATAAATAGAGGGTATTAATGATTGAACAGATGTTTGTCAACATTGGAAAACTTTTTTATATCATTAAAGATCTAACAATATTCTCAAAGTAACAAATTGTACATAATATAACTCATACTTTAAGTATTTACTGTACAATAATAAAATTTCACAATTTACAGTAATACAAAGTTCCACAATGTACTACAATACAATTTAGTTCCACAATGTACTACAATACAATTTAGTTCTACTATGTTTAGAATCCAAAAATCTACAAATACACATTAATATAAAGTTCTACAATGTACGGTAATGCAATGTACAGTAATACAATGTACAGTAATACAATGTACAGTAATACAATGTACAGTAATAGAGTTCTACAATGTACAGTAATATAAAGTTCTACAATGTACAGTAATATAAAGTTCTGCAATGTACAGTAATACAATATATACAGTTAATTGTTCTTTGAAAATATTAGATTCAAATCCTAATGTTTTATTTGATATTGAATAACAAAATTTAATGAAATGAAAACTTGAGTTTTCTGTTATTTGTATATTGAGACATGTGTGTGTTTTTCTGTTTCAGCTGTTGGATGTGACCTTGGTATGTGTTGGACCAGGTATCAGGATGCCACTGCCGCCCTTAATTCAGGGATTCTCATGGATTTAATTCCAAATGGAGTCTCGGACAATCCAAAGTGTATTGTTATTCGTACATATGTTAAATGTATAAATAAACAAGGACATAGATTTGAATGTAAGACAAGTCTGACTTTCCAGTCAGAAAAAATAGGAAATAAAAAAGCATTAAAAGAATTAAACTGTTCAATTAATGGAGAAGTGTACGATCCAGCTGCCAACACTGTGCCACACTTTCCTCAAGTACCAGATTCTGAATTTATGTGTTCGTATGAAGGACAAAGAAACTACAAACACTGCGGGTTATTCGGGGATCCCCATCTCAGGACTTTCAGTGATGAATTTCAAACGTGTAAAGTTGAGGGTGCATGGTCACTCATAAACAACAAGCACCTGACAGTGCAAGTTACCAATGATCCTGTTGTGACGAGCGGAGCTGCCACTGCTACGAGCAAGGTAAGCCGGGAACCCGTCGCCCGAGTACACCCTTCAATACTTGAACGACCGGGTTTAGATCTCTCTATCTCGTGCAGTTGTTGGTGCTTTTTTCGCCTTGTGCATTATTGTAAATGTCATTTATGTGTTATTATTGGGAGACTAACGACTTAAAAGTGTATACAGCGTGAATAATGCCCAAAATTGCCTCTGCCCTCTTTCAAAATGGCGGATTTGATTCGCTAAGTATACGGTCTGTTAGATTGCCTTTGAACACTGAAGATTTTTACAACTGAAGTTCGTTTACGATACAATAATTACGCCGTTCACCGTGAAAGCAAATTAATATATCAGTTGTTTTATGTATGAAGTCGTAAAATTGCCCAGTTGACGTTTCTGGCTATGTGTATTGTACCTGTCATATCGTCGTACACACTTGTGTGTATGGAATGGAAATAAATTCGTTTGACCCATTTGACACTGGCCAAAATGGCGGATTGGGACGTACGCTGTGTTTGTTTCCGATCCCACATACATTTACCACTTAGTGACACGGATGTAGAAGAAAATATGGTCTATTTACAGACGGGCTTATTTTGTATACAGATCGATATGCAAAATAGCAGTGAACCAAATGGGGGAATAAAACAGCATACACCACACTCGTACACAACCAGACACCATGTTAGACATTGAATCATTTAGGATAGTATGTACGTCTTCAAGCTTACGTATTATCAGCACATTTTACACACACAATCATTAAAGTGAATGGCAACAGTTCCCTTCCGATGTATAATAAATATAGTGCCATCTTGACTGGTCGCGCTATAGATTAATCAACCTCAAGATGTGTGAATCTTATATAAATTTATAATGTAAAATACCAATGTTTCTATAGATTTGTATGTGAATGCCAATGTAAGTGACACCGAAGGAACTTGGATATGATCATAAACATATACCTGAGTACAGAATGTAGCTAGCAGAAAAACGTGCATTATTGATGTTTACATTTTTCTGACTAGCTCTTTAATACATGATGCATGAATTCTGTATTCAGCTGACTTCATTTATAGATAATTATAGAGTATGTGTCAGTGTTCTCTATATAAATTGATGTCACTAATTGGAATAGTAAATATGAGGTTATGTAAAATGATACAATGTTCTATCATTCAGTTATCAACATTTGTATTATTTTTAATAGTTACAATGAAGTTGCTTGATTACATTTCAAATATATTGTGTTTTGCATTAAACTTTACAGGATTGCTGTAAGTGGTCAGCTAGACTAAAACTACATTAGATGTATCAGTGGTCAGCTAGCTTTAGATCTAGACCACTAATTATATATCTGACTGCTGTTTAATTTATTACATCATTTAAATTGTCCTAAAACATGTTGAGCTATCAGTGGTCAGTTTAGCTATAAACTGCACATTTATTTCACAAGTTAAATCAGTGCATCTGAATTATCTTGTATTAAAGTTATCGAGTGTTATATATCAGCTGTCAACAAGACCAGCATATTTGTCTGAAAATAACAAATAGGAAATTTGACAAACATAAACACATTCTGTTTTAAATATCTTGAATAAAATAAGCCGAGATATTCTCTTTTATTGTAAATTGAATTAACTGTCCCCTTTGTAGTTTCACATAAAATTTTGCCCTGTTGGAGAACAGGTTGTGCTATCACACTTGAACTGTAAACATTTACCTGTGCCCTTATACAGGTAAGTGTGATAAACACAGGTACACATACGAACCACTCCCAGATTCACCTGTGACCTTATTCTCTGTGAGTTGGACTAACCTGATTGACACTGGTCACCAAGCTAGTCTCACCACCTGGGGTAGAGAGCACCTGTTAATTGGTAGTTAGGGTCAATTAGTGTTAATTGCCAATTAGGACTTAGTGGTGTGATTACTCAGCTACTGGTCATATACACCTGTAGCCCCAGTAGAGGTGCTGGCAGTGAGCTATCCCACACAGCTTCACATATAGACAGCAGTGTTTTACATCAAAGCTGTGTGTAGATCAAACAAAACACCATCTATTTACTCAAGACAAGTCTGCATGTAAGAACAATTACCAAAGCCTACACTTGAGTTTTAATGGGTGTTGAAACTTCATTATTTTATGTTTTTGAGTTTGATTTGTCCATACCTACCAATCCCAGCCAAAAGATTATTGACCAAGTCATCTTGGCAACCATGAATGTGCTAAAAGCAGTATGTATGATCTTTTTATCATGATGGACCAGAACAATAAAATGAAGAATTGTAATGTTACTTAGTGTATTAATAAAAGATTACGCATACATATGTCATTCTAGGAGAGTATAGAAAGGTACTAACATATAATGTGTTGCGATATAAAGTGTGATGATGACGTCGGAAAATGATTCAGATGTAGGTGATTTACTCTCCCATTCTGGCACATGTAGACATTTTCTTGAGTGACAAATTGCCATATCATCTGTTCTTTGTTTCTGCAGCCCTGATCACATACTTTTATTATACCCCTGTTGCCCACACTTAGTTGCGTCCTTTATCAGCAGGTTCTGTTAGAGTGGTATATATAGATTTGATAGTACCCTGGAGCTGCTTGCACTTAATCCCCAACAATTCTAGTAAACAACTTCCATTTCGTCTTTCCTGGAGCAGCTAGTGATACAGTCCCGTACACGTGCAAACAGGGTTTCCACTTTGTAGGTTAGGTTAATGAATGTGTAGGGTTTGTACACATGTTGGTACACACGTATGCAAATTTCTGGAGCCTGGTGCTTTCTACACCAGTGAAACACGAAATAATCTGTATGCATGAGAGAGAACAATTTTATCTGATCTGTGCGTACACGTAGAATGAGTATTTTGCATAATTTGGGTGTTTAGATGCACATATCAACATTAAATAATGAGAAAACTGGCTATAAGATAGGGAGGGTCATGTGCTAGGGTACAGCATCACTGTGGTGTACAGCGTCTGTGAAACAAAGATCTCCAAATCACTCGCTGGGACTTACAACAGACAAAATATCAGGAGATTACACCCTAGAACGTGTGATAGATTACAGTATTTTCACATAAATGTACATCGCCCGTTAGGCATGAAACGGAGAAAAATGTTATATTATAATTTGCATTATTCTCTTTGAAACATACCAGGATCTTTTATAGTTGTCTAACAGTATATTTTTTCTATAAGAAATCAGTTATCAAATTAACTTCAATATTTTAAAACACTTCTAATAAAATCCAGTGATGGGAAATGATAAAAAAAAATCGGGTAATAACTAAATAGTACAAAAGTAAAACTTGGTACAGGACAGCCAATGTATTGCCGCCTGTATACTTCCAGTATACTTCATAATAGGAATACGTACATGTACATTGTAGGTGACTATGTGTACTTGATAATAGGAATATCATGCAAGGATAATACTATATAATCTGTAGATCCATGATTTGCATCAATATTTTGAATAAATATAAACTTCAGTTTTTTTACAACAGTTAATTAGAAACAAGTTTCACAACTTATATTGATCACTCTTGTTGGGTCTTGAGGGTCTTATTAAGATGTGGGAAGAAACCAGACTACCTGGAGAAAACCTACATGGTCAGACAGGTACAGATCCAATATCTTTACATGGTCAATCGGGGAATCAAAACCGGGCCATTTTGGTAAAAGGCAAGGTGTGCTATCCACTGCACCTGAACCATCCAACATTTTAGAATGGATTTTAAACTCGCCTGCAAAACTTGGAAACATTTGATGATGTGAAAAGTTTGTTTTGGCTTGTGTAGCTAAAAGAGCGGTCAAAATTGTAGAGCTGACTCTGGAACACATACAACTTAGAAATGGTTCTGTTGTTGCACAACTAATGCTATATAGAACAAACTCAAGTAGAGGAAACTAAAAGTAACTCTTCTATAAAGTATGAAATACACACAATTCAATGTATATTTGATAAATTATTGATTAAGCATGGACATCACAACCATTTACAGTACATCTTGGATAAAATATTTAAGCAGCCTTCATGGCACGCATCTCATATCTTATCGTATAACATATACAGACATATTTTGTCTTACGATTGATTTTTCCGTCATTGATAGTGTGTACTGTATAGAGGATACCACTGCAAAAAACGATAACTACGCATTTGAAACTGATTTTTGCATCATGACTAAAGCTTTGATGAATCACTTCTGAAAAGAAACCCATACCTTCTAGGACTTAAATGGGATGAAATAAACAAAAGATAATAAACAATAGTGTGTTAAGTGTAAAAAGATGCATTGGGGCCCGACTAGGATTCGAACCCTGGTTATACTGTCACTCTAACCAACAAAGCTACCTGGTCAACGGAAGCACCCGGCCCAGTTGCATTACAGTTCATAATATCTGAGACAAAATTAAGGGGAGGTAACTGCATATATACGAGAACCACAGTGGAATTCTCAAATGTTATGTCTGCAGTGGCACAGTGATCCTTAAACATTAATTTGCATTAGGTACTTCATATTATTTCTGGTATATGTTTAGTGATTTAATTGTTTTGATCTCTGTTTAACTCATTCACCCCTGACAACACATTTGAACTCTTCTATTTCAAGGTTTGGAATAGTTCATTATGAAATTTCAGGGCTGAATGAGTTAAAATGAACCTTATTTACAAAGTTAAATTTTGAAGTTAAAATGTTTGCAAGAACATATTGTTTGATATTTAACCTTTTTATTGATGTTTTACTTGAACTCGAGAATATTTACCTCCTGAAAAATAAAGGAAAATAAACTGTTAAGATGGTTCAGTATTTTATACTTCTAATTCAAAAATAAGATAAAGATTTCAAGCTTACACTATTGAATTGTCTTTGTCAACAAGTTTCAGAAATAGTTTCTGTGTGAAGGAAGGCTAGATCTGGGCTGTTTACCTGCTCTAATCCTGTTTATATCTACCACTATATATAGCCTACTACACACCAATGTTCAATGTTCAAGTCACTGAAGATTTTGTGACGTACTATTTGTAATGTTTTCCATAAACTTCCTCTCGTTAATTAAATATTTAATATGATGCATCTCATTAGACTCTCGGCTAACCATACATTTTCTCAAAACTGAATTTAGTCTAGGAGAAGGTTGGCAAAATTCCATGCAGTGTAATTAAAAACAAACGGAAAATGTGGTGATTTCAGACCAGTTTTGTGACAGAGTTGATGGATAGATCATCACTTGGGGATTGAGTACTAGACTGGAATCCCGCCGGTCCATCAGATACTTGCTACACATTGTTACAGCTGTGTTGTATTTGGTGGTACCATTGTTACAGCTGTGTTGTACTTGGTGGTACACATTGTTACAGCTGTGTTGTCCTTGGTGGTACCATTGTTACAGCTGTGTTGTACTTTGGCGGTACCATTGTTACAGCTGTGTTGTACTTGGTACCGCCATTGTTACAGCTGTGTTGTACTTGGTGGTACACATTGTTACAGCTGTGTTGTCCTTGGTGGTACCATTGTTACAGCTGTGTTGTCCTTTGGTGGTACCATTGTTACAGCTGTGTTGTACTTGGGGGTACCATTGTTACAGCTGTGTTGTACTTTGGCGGTACCATTGTTACAGCTGTGTTGTACTTGGTACCGCCATTGTTACAGCTGTGTTGTACTTGGTGGTACCATTGTTACAGCTGTGTTGTACTTGGTACCACCATTGTTACAGCTGTGTTGTACTTGGTACCACCATTATTACAGCTGTGTTGTACTTTGGTGGTACCATTGTTACAGCTGTGTTGTACTTTGGTGGTACCATTGTTACATCTGTGTTGTACTTGGTGGTACACATTGTTACAGCTGTGTTGTACTTGGTAGTACCATTGTTACAGCTGTGTTGTACTTGCTACACATTGTTACAGCTGTGTTGTACTTGGGGGTACCATTGTTACAGCTGTGTTGTACTTTGGTGGTACCATTGTTACAGCTGTGTTGTACTTGGTGGTACCATTGTTACAGCTGTGTTGTACTTGCTACACATTGTTACAGCTGTGTTGTACTTGGTACCACCATCGCTAGGTAGTGGGGTCGTATCGAGTACCAGAAATGATTGTCACACCTGCTGGGGGTTTAGGGGCACAACTGTTATCTTTCAAGGGACATCAGAACACTGGTATATCGCAATACACAGACATATTGTATTGTATCGCAATATGACTGTATCAGAATAATTTTTCAAATCCTGATTTTTATACATCTGCTAGGTATTTTAACTTTGCAAAAAAATCCCCTTATAACAGATGAGCCATTTACCAGGGTATCTGAATCAGTTTAAATTTCATAATTGTTGGTTGGTTTCATGAAAATATTAGATCATTGTGCTCCATAAGATAAATAATATAATAATAATAATATACAACATTTATATAGCGCATTTAAAGACAAAATGAATGCCGATTAAATGGCAGAAAATTCATTGAAGAAGATAATGGTGCTTCGTGTTGGATTTGATTTTGTCCAGTTGGTGTTCATATTTCCTATAAATGCCAACTGAAAGCAGTTCAATACTTACATTTACTAATTTTGGAATCTGTTTATCTCAAAGAAAATTCTGCTTACACTCATTATTATTCAGCATAACCCATTTAGCTCAAATAATGCATTTATCATATATGCTTGGGCAATTAAAACAACAGCCATCTGTCAAGGGTCATCAGTTGGCTTATAACATTCATAGACATTATGAATGCCATCAGAATGTGGAAGAGTTATATAGTGGCAATGTCATATGATGTTAAAGCTCTTTCAAGCCATGGAGTGTACATGTGGGAAAAGGTACATTTCATTGAAGAGGTTTTAACAATTGAGTGAAACCCAAGGCCTGCCACAAGTTTTGCACCAATTTGATAATTCCTACACCACAGAGCATAAAAAAAGTGTTTTTTCTCCCATTCCAATCATCAGAATTAGTTCAGAAACCACCAAAAGGCATCACAATTTCAGAATATTTAAGATCTCGTAATTTAACATCATTGTTGTCCCATTCGTCACACATGTAAAATACATGCAGGGTACTGGTGTAAGATAGACATTTCTCACACCCCTTTCTTACCATGGACAGTTCTGTCATATATACCAGAGTTATAGATATTTCTCACACACCTTTCTTACCATGGACAGTTCTCATATATACCAGAGTTATACATAGAAATTAGAGAATTTATACATGTATGTTGATAGTAAACAATGTGCCAAATGAACTTGGTCTCCGAGTCTTATATCAAGGTACTGCATATAAATTACTAGTAGGGACATCATATTAAAGCTTTACTGTAGCAGATTTGGTAGGTAACTTGCTCCTAATAATCCAATTCAAAAATTGTAGATTATGTTATTATTTGTAATACAGTCTTGTCCAGCTGATATTTTCTTAATGTTTATAGTCGCCCAATCAATCAGTGTATTCTTTTTTGTTTGGGGGGGGGGGGGGCACATTTTTTAAAGGGAAACATATTTCTGTGAAATTTATATGAATTTTTTATAGAAGATATATTTGCTTGGGAAAGCTATAAAAGGTAGTAAACTTAACCTAGATCCGTGCCAGTGATGGGGTGACATGATGTCAAATCGGGGATAGCATTTTTTTCTATCATCCATTCATGTTATATTGCAGTACATTGATTTACATCTAGGACGCGGTGTAAACCATTAGGACTTTAAAATCTTCTAAACACTGCCTTGATTTTATACACCGCCCTCGTTACGCGCCGCTATATAGGGTTGTTCATATTAGATTTCAGTCAGCGGTTTAGGCATAGTTTTTCTTTTGAAAAAAAGTTAAACAGATTGTGTACATATGTAGGATATGATAAATTTGTTGTGATCAATAGGTAATAAAGCTGAGTGGGACACCTGTGTTAGGACAATAGGCACTGTAATCTACAGGTGGGCTGTGACAGGTACGCTTTTTACCTGGGGGCACTATCATACACATTGTACTGGACCCGTAATTTATATACAAAATTAAAGGGGCAAAGCTTTGGCATTTTTAAAAGAAAAACTTGGTAACAGAAGACATTTATTGACTTGTATTCTCACCAACTGATCAGGTTTTCATAATCAATTCAAAACTGGGAAAGATTTGCATTTCTTACTGAACTCATTCACCCCTGAAATGTTATAATGAATTATTCCAACCTTTGAATTGGAAGAGTTCAAATGTGTCTTCATGATCAGGTGTGTTTGAGTTAAGGAAGGCACTCGAGCTCAGTCCCAAAACTTGCACACCATTTTCCACCTCGATCTCTGACACTCGGCGCAACCATTTCCACCTCGATCTCTGACACTCGACGCAACCATTTCCACCTCAATCTCTCACACTCGGCGCAACCATTTCCACCTCAATCTCTCACAGTCGGCGCAACCATTTCCACCTTGATCTCTCACACTTGACGCAACCATTTCCACCTCAATCTCTCACACTCGGCGCAACCATTTCCACCTCGATCTCTCACACTCGGCGCAACCATTTCCACCTTGATCTCTCACACTTGACGCAACCATTTCCACCTCAATCTCTCACACTCGGCGCAACCATTTCCACCTCGATCTCTCACACTCGGCGCAACCATTTCCACCTTGATCTCTCACACTCGACGCAACCATTTCCACCTCAATCTCTCACACTTGGCGCAACCATTTCCACCTCGATCTCTCACACTCGGCGCAACCATTTCCACCTCTACCATCACACTCGGCGCAACCATTTCCACATCTACTCTCACACTCGGCGCAACCATTTCCACCTCTACTCTCACACCCGGCGCAACCATTTTCCCCTCTACTCTCACACTCGGCTCAACCATTTCCGCCTCTACTCTCACACTCTCACACTCGGCACAACCATTTCCGCCTCTACTCTCACACTCTCACACTCCGCACAACCATTTCCACCTCTACTTTCACACTCGGCACAACCATTTCCACCTCTACTCTCACACTCGGCGCAACCATTTTCACCTCTACTCTCACACTCGGCTCAACCATTTCCACCTCTACTCTCACACTCTCACACTCGGCACAACCATTTCCACCTCTACTCTCACACTCGGGGCAACCATTTCCACCTCTACTTTCACACTCGGCGCAACCATTTCCACCTCCATCTCCCACACTCGGCGCAACCATTTCCACCTCCATCTCTCACATTTTCGATCACTATTTGACACTCTACCTTTTCATAACCCATCTTTCAATTTAAAGTTTCCTTTTGACAGTTTGAATCAGTCTTTTAAGCTTCTTATTAAAGGGACAGAATGGTATCTATCTTAACATGAAAGTGGAATGGCCAGACTGAATCCTCAATAATTGTTTTCTTGCTGTATATATGGTTATATGTATTGTACGGGCTGTATAGTATATAACTGTTGCTATAAGCCACCAGTGCTAGGACATATTACATGTATATTGTATGTGACTATAAAACCTGGTTGCTTCATTTGCTATCTGTCCTTGTTGATGGATGAGCAACAATAATTATAGTATTTCACTATAATCACATAACTTTGTAAACGCAATTGAGTAAAGTATATATTAATAATGTTTTTTGTTCTATTTTTACAGCTTACAGTTGTGATAAAGAAAAATGAAGATTGTGCGGCTCACCGATTTGTGACCTATGCTGCACAAACAGACAATCTACCGGGGTCGTTTGATGATGGTAGTACTACCTACGGCCCAGACAACAGTGTGAGATTGTACGAAATAGAACCTGGTAAACATATAAAAATCTACCTTAGGTTTATAGACACAACAATTGTGGTTCGCCAAATAGGTCGGTATTTCACCTTCGCGATCAAAATGCCACAGGAAGTGATAAATAAAAGCAGGGAAGAGGATGTGTTGGAATTGTGTGTGCGTGGTTGTCCGCAACAAGAACGGATTAATTATCAAAAGTATTTAGCAGAAAAGAAAAACAAAATTTTACCTCCTACCGGTGCAAGTAGTGATAGCATTGAAATGCAGCGGTCAGATGCCGTAAATTTGTGTAAAAAAGCCAAAGTAGTGGATTTTTATTTCGATTCGTGTGTGTTCGATCTCATGACAACGGGGGATAAGGTCTTCACCGTGTCTGCATATCAGGCATGGCAAGACCTCATCGAGCTCACACCAGAAATGAGGCAGACACAAACAAATCGCACAGACCTCTCAAGGTATGACAACATGCACAGCAGTGCTGCCACCTTCAGGACTAACTACACATCATCGTTTAGGATTTTAGTATTAACAATTCTGCTGTGTCTGTGGCACCAGTACCACCCAGTATAACACAGGTGTGGCACAGGTCTCTCATCCACCTGTGAAATACCTCTACTTACTTACCTTACTTAGCATTTGTGAATTCTTCCGAACATCGTAGCCTCATCCATATGTCTGTGTCACATGACTGTTGTCACGGATGCCAAGCTGTTGTTATCAGGTATGACTAACTCATCATTAAGCTCATCATCACATTCATCATATTTACATTCTCATAATCAAGTCCTCATTTGCATATTGCTAAAGCCAATCAGAGGAAATATCTTCTTATTCCTCCAAGTCCAAACAAATGGTAGGACTTTGTTTTGTTGACCCACCAAAAACCTGTTCATCTGTCCCGCATGTCCAAACAATGTTTTATCTTGTATATATCTGTATATAGAATACATATATATAAATATATATTGCATACAAAGTGTATGGAAATGAGCGTGACGAGTGAAAGGGAGATAATTAAAGGAAAATCAAGGAATGATATGTTGAGAATTATTGAATAATTGACGCTGTGTAACGTTAACGGAATATGTGATAAATTCAAAAGGAGGCTAAACTGGGTGCTACGTGTTAACCGTGTGAATGTGTTTGGTGCGTAAATGTTTCTGTGGAAAGCCTAATGGAATATGTTATGTTAATCAAGTATATTGGAAGCTAGGAACACAAGAAGAGCATTTAATTAAATTTCATAAAAATACACAAATTGATTTCAGTTTTACTACGATTCTGAAAATGAAAAAGTTATTTTTCGAGAGTCATGAACATTCAGTAATTTAATATGAAAAACAAAGTTAAAACCCTATTTGTAACGTGTATATGGTGGCATATTTTAAACTAAAATTTAATATGGGAAAGATTATTTTGATATATATGTTGGGGGGTTTTATGAAAAAAATAATCTTTAAGTTTTTGTTCATGCACATAATTCAGTCCACACATGGATATTTTGTATATTTGGCCATATATTGTATATAATGATATTTATGAAAGTCAAAAAAAACTCTTTTTTATATGATTGAATATCTGTTATGATTTTTTAACACCTATGCATTCCTTGCAAATGGGATTAAAAGATAATCACCCAATGAACTTATTATCACAAGGAAAGACTGAACATGTAAGTTGAAAGTGTATCGTCAAAAGAGCATAAAAGACCTCTCAGATCAGAGACATAGTCTCTGCTCCGATGTACATACAGTACTATTTTTGGACCGATTCCCTTAACCTGTAAATACAGATCAGAGTACGCATCAGTATGTTGAAACGAAGATAAAAAAAAGTATCAAGGGCATCGTAACTTTCTCAGGAAAGTATTCCTCATTGTGTCTTCTCTTCCAATATAGTTGACCAAAATTGTCTACTTTGGTGTGTCTGAGGAGAGGATGGTATTGCTAAGTGTGTGTATCAAGTCTGCTGAGAGATGGGGAGTGTGGAAGTTAAGAATGTAAATTCTAATTAAGTGAATTTTATTGTGGTATAAATTGAATGAACCTTTTTTTCTGAGTTGAAATAAGACAACTCTTAACCAAAGCAATGACCTCTGTTTGTACAGGGGTAGGGCATTTTACTTCGGTGAGCCATAAAAACTGTAATGCAAGTCGGTGAAGGCATGTACCATGAAAAGGTTGAAAAGGCTGGAAACTCTGACCCTGGCCGTGCTCTCATAAAACTTTTCTTAAAGGCAGCCATTGTTATATCGGTACAATGATAAGGGGAAGAGGGCGGGTATGGGCACACACACAGACAGAAATCCACGCTTTGTCCCTCTCATTGACAAACATGGTCCTATGGACAGTTTAAGTTCTCTAAAGTCTTGTTGACCACGGAAAGATTTTCAATTTAAAAAAAAAATTGACACACAGAGTCTGGTTCAAGTGGGTAGGGGAATGTTTCATCTCCTTGGTCAGGTGTACGAGGTTTAAAATATTTCCTTTCACCTCTCCGCTGGCTTTTGTTGGTACGTTATGAAAGGACTTGCCAAAATCTTTTCTTCTCCTGCACTGACCTGGGTAGAAAAGGGAAATGAGTCGTGTTATTGAACCAGAATTGGCCCGTTTAGTACCAGCCAGGGCATTGTCAAGACTGGGGTGATAGGCCAAATATAATCCTGGATGCTAATTCCTGAATGCTACAAGTGGGAACAGTTGGGATTCTGTTGGGATAGGTTACAAATGTTAAGTACTGGAAAATATCAGTCTGCCAATACCATGTCTACTTAAAACAGTTCACTTGGCCCTTACACACTTTGTGTAGTTAATTGCTAAGATTCTATATCCATCCGCAAAAATGAAATGTGTTTCCATAGATACGCCAAGGTTGTTGGGTGTAAAAGTGAATGTTACCTTAAATACGGTTTCAAATATTATCGTTTCACTGCGTTCATTCCAAGTCTCCACACTGTCAAGTTCATTCTATAAGGCCACAACTGCCAGTCATTGATGATATAAGGAGAATGTAATTATAAATTTTGATAAGACCCTTCGGAAAGATCCGTATGGATTTAATCGAATGTATAAGAAAAAGTGGTATATAACTAGTAAATGTATATGAGTGTTTAAAAACTGTTTGAAGTCAAGCAGTGCAAACAATCTGTCGGTTTGTTGGTTTACACAATGCACTCCTGTAAATGTCCCTTTTCCCAAATATTAATGCTGAAGTTATTTTATAGGTATAGAAAGGTATAGAACCCATTTTTGATTCAAATTTTTTACTGTTTGATTTTTTTTTTAAAAGCCCTGAATAACAGTCCATAATTCAGACCTAGATTTATTATAACTGCTTCAGAAATATAATATGTTTACGCTTTAGAGAGTCTTAAACCCTTTATAAACCCGCTGGAGCAGTTACAGAGACAGCTCAAGCACCTCCGTTTTATTGAGTCGGAGCGTTTTTACATCACTGTACTATATCCTTGGGGTTGTGAATGGCAAGACAAGGACACGTGTATTTGTTCTGTAACTGTGGCCCCACAACCGGTGACATATCAGTGTTCCCCCACATGTGTTGGCAGGACTATACACCCTTGAGGAGCTACGTTTGCCCCTTCTTTCTCTATACCAGCTTGGAGCCCCGACTCTCTCTCCTTCAGCCAGATTTTTATGGCTATATGGTTGAGAGCGTTCTCGGTCTTCCCTCTATATCTTGTGTGCTGTAGTGTTTAGGAGGCCTTATCATGAACTCAATCTTCCTAGGTTTGATGTGCACACCTGCACAAGTAGTTAGTGTGAGTTGAGTATATATACATACATATTTACGGGGGGCCAGTCAGGGGGAAATTCTGTAACTGATATAAAAGGTAATGTACATTTTATGGCCTTTTTGGCAGCTTCTAACCTTTTCAAAGGTTCCTTGGTTAAAAGAAGTGTTGGCAGTTGCACAACTTATTCAGAAGCTGAAAAAAATAGAGGAGATAAAAAAAATCATCCAAATATCCAAGAGTATGTTTTTACATTTGAGGGTGTTTTGATTTGGCAAAGTTCCACTGACAAATTTTAAAGTTTTTGTGTTTTCTTTGATGTTTTCATGCTACACTTAAATTTTGATTTTTGTTGGGGTTTATTTGTCACAATACACACTATTCAAACGTAATGGGATACATAACATTCGTAATATATTCTCATTGCCAAATATTAAGTTATGCCCAATAAACACAGTAAGAGGCATTTCACAAAGAACAAAGATGTGAACCATCTCACCTCTGTGGTAAAGACAGGATTTGAAATGAATCCTTTGTAGAATTCAAGGTGATTATCACAGTGTTAACACCTTTACATAGTTCCTCTGTCATATAATCTGTAGTAGTATAGATTGAGACTAATGGATGTATTCAGAAATGCTTATCTATCAGAGAAAGGAAGGACATCACATAAATATTTCATACTTTTAACAATTCCATGTGTTAAAGAATACATTTACCCCTTTATTTGCCTCTTCCGTAAATCAATGTCTATCTGATCTAAAGAATTTAAACCTAATGTTTGTGATTGATAAATGTGGCTTAATTCTTCTTAAAGAAAAAAAAGTTTTAGGGACGATATATTACAAACTATATTATGTAAGGTTAAAGATGTTAGGAACTAAGGTGTAAACTTTAACAAATTTAGTTTGTGTAGTAGACCTGGGGTTTTCCCTAGGTGCCTCACTATCCCCTTCTCCATTGGCCCGGTTGTAATTGAGCAGTAAATCTCGGGAATGGAGGACCTATGTCATACCAACGGAGAAGTATCATATAATTTATTTTATAGCCGTTTCTGATCTCGAGCTTTTAAAAAGCACAAAGAAGATTTGACCCATCCCCTCCAAATGTGATGTTTAGACCTAGTGCTAGCTTGTACAACCCCTGGATGGTCAGTCTCACATTTCAGTACAAGAATGCACTCCACAAAAAAACGGGCTTTAAAATATATTTTTGTCGAGTGTAGTTTTTACTTTCAAGATGAATATAAAAGAAATCTCATATTTCATATAGTGTTCACAGGCAACGTGTTAACAACCGTCTTGAAAATATCCTTCAGTACTGCAAAATTAATGTTAATGGATTTATTTTGTGTTTAGGAAACGGAAAAGAAAAATAGTTATGTAAAATGGAGCAGGTACCATTAAGTACATCAATCATATGTTTCAGACTCTCATTGTTTGCTAGGGCAATAGGGCAAACAAAAGTTTAGTATCCGCATTTAATAGTTGACAACAAACCCGACCTCGGTGACAGTATTATAGCTTGATGAACCCTGGCCATCTAGACTTGGGAGAGAGATTCAGTCATATTGGCTAGAACTAGGAAAATAAACGTGTAAAGGTTCAATCATGTTTGCTTGATCTCTGAAAAATCAATGCTAGAAAGTCCTGTTGGCTAAATAGAAAACTGAGGGAAATAATCTGTGAAAACATGACGTATTCATTTTTGTCAAAACATGATATTGTCAAAATTCATAGACACAGAAATTGAGGTTTTGAGATTTTTTTTTACATTTTGCGTCGTTAAATCCGACTCGATGTTTATGAATTTTATCGTGTGCCTTTTCTCCGCCATCATCTTTTTTTTCTTCTCCGTGTAATAACAGAAATAGCTGGCGAGGGTAGTATGGGTTTTGTCAAGTTGTGCACACTGTGAACCGAGATATGTTTAGCTGGTATGTTGACGTTTAATCTCCCTCCTGGATTCGGTATTTGGAATGTCAGAGTGTGACTCCTACCTCGTGTTCACACTGTAGATGCTTCAAACACAAATAGTCATCACATCATTCTTAGAGGTTGTCTAGGTTACGCTAATAAACTTTGTAAATTATTTAACCAACGGCATAGAAAGGGAACAGCTATTTTCACTCGATTATTACGAACCACACTTCCAACAATGTGGGTGCCATATTATCACGTAATGTACACATTTTATAGGAACAACAAAGAGAGAAATGGCAGATAGTTAATAGGAAACAACTGTGAAGTCTTAAAGGCTTTGTGAAATTGAAACTCTCAAATAGAGATATATAGCAAGTTTACAAATTAAATCCACATGTACTAGTATATCAAAGCTGCAGCTGTAGTCTGGTACATATCAACGTTATAACCGGTACTGGCCCGCTGTATCAGACTCGTGTAGCAAGTCAGAATCCCCTTTACATCCAATCGCTGTTATTCATAACCAATCCGATGTCCTGTTACAACCTTCCATTGCCTTAATTCATAACCAATCGCCTAATCTGTTATTGTTAATTGCCCTCATTAAGCAATCAGATCCTATGTCACTCTCAATTTTCTTTGAAACTAAATGCTGTGGCCAATGTCCCGTTAAGCAATTGTGTTATTGCTGAGTTATATATGCTGGCAAGAGAAGTCTGACCTGATGTACAAGTGTAGGCCGTGCTGCACTCTCTCGAATTTACATACTGTATATACATTCTTCGTCTTATACCTTTTCACGTCCCGCATAAATGTCGCCTAAATTGTTTAGACAGTTGTGAAATTTTAAATAGATGAATTCATGTAGGTTGGTAATGTATATATGCATATTTACATAAAAAATCGCTGCATGTGTGCAGTTGGTTCTGAAGTTTGATGCCTTCCACCCAGGTTGATGTTAGCCACACATGATATGGCCGACTGAGAGAAATGAATGTCCTGCAAAACAGCCATTAGTGTCAGATACAATATAGAGGTTCAGTCTAAAGGACATGCCAACTGTTATGAATATACGTTTGCGCCTTGGCTTTGAAGCCACCTGTGTTCTGAATAGTGTGATATTGTGTCATTATATGTACATTTTTCTCCTGAGGTAAACGTATCGCCGGGGACATGAGTACAAAGACTATCATGCTCCTAGTTCTGGCACGCTATTGAATTGTACAAGTATAACGTCCCATACACATCCAGCGTTATGGTGGCTAGTGTTAGGTATAAATGAAATTTAATATTTGATCATACCAGTTCAGTCAGCTGAAGATCACCTTTAATATATAAACCATTTTATACCTATTCTCCCGTTTGTGGCATGATCCAGATCATCTGAGGTCACAGTGTATCAAACGTTTCATGCATTCGTCTCCCTATGGAATTACCCGAATCAAAGTAAGGAAGGGTCCATTCCAAAGTGGTAGGGGGGACGACATGGTTAATCAATGTTTTGCCTATGTCAGTCGATCGGTCTCGGTGTTGCGTGATTGTCGTGGGGTTTGCTCTGTACGGTCTTACTCACTGAACACGAATGCCGACTTCCGAGGTTTGGCCTGAAATATCACCGACCCTCAATAATCTCGGGTTACCCCCCGTACCTGACTAAAGATATTTTCTTAAAGCGCATATAGATTAAAAGGTCGCTATGAAATGACCCTTGCAATGATTGCACATAGGCAATGGGGGCTAGGCATGAAAAATAGCCCGAGCTTCTACATTCTGTAATGGCCCACATAGTGCAGTTCAGGCTTTCCCCTTTAAATGTATTGTTTGGCGCTTCATGTTGTGGTCATACTACGATACCGATCGTGGTATGATCATTACTAGAATGACACAGGTGAATATGGGTTCGATTTAACCCAGAAAAAGAGGCATTGTTCACGATATTGAAGGTTACTAGAGAGACGTGTTTGGCACAATCTATTTATTTTATTTCCTCCAGGATTTCATTTAATGATGATGGAATTTTAAGCTCGGAAGCTGTTCATTTAATGCATCGGTGATCTGGATAGTTATAGTGAATATTTTTTTTGTGACCTTTTCTCCAAACTTTTTTCTACGCAAAGATTTGAATTCGCGAAAGAAAAAGTAATAGCTATACTTCTCTTGAAGTTTTAAGTCCTATATTAAGAAGGCTCGAATTATTTCTACACAGTCATTTACATTTAGACATTCCTCAAATTATCATCAGCTTCTAAAGGTGTTCAAAAGATTTAAGAAACTTTGCATATACTTATAGACTAAAAGCAAACTAAGCTAAAACAGTTATTACCATGAATGTTCTCTGTGTCATTCAAGAACGAAGTTTTCTCGCCTCTGTGTCACACCTGGGGCTTGTATATTTTTTGTTTCTTATTAGTACACACCTTTGAGATGTAAACTATACGACCAGTACTTAGTGGTAGACTAATAGATCCATCTTGTTGTGTAGCCCCCTGATTACCGGCCGCCGTACAGCATTAGGGCAATACATAACACGCCTGGTGGCAAAGGTGGGACGTTTTCCATCATTGTCACTCAGGCGCTTGTCACTTGTGTCATAAAGACCCCTTCTTCCTACACTGCCCGCTGGCATCATGTTTAGTCGGCTTAACGCCATAAAAATGTCTTATAAATGTTTGTAAAAAAATAATACCAGGGATACGAATTATATCCATCTGCAAGATTAATTTTAACTGATATAAAATGGTGTTTTTTATACATTCATAGAAATATTTATACCAATTAATATATGGAGAAGAATTACGTTTGCACTAAGGGTAAGTTGTCGAAATATGTTATCAGCTAGGGCACTCTCCTTCTGTGATAGGGATCGTAACATGCAGATCTCAAGATAACGGAATATGACTGTGTGTATGTACGTGTGAAATTTTATAATAATTGTATGAAATCATTTATCTTAGCCATCTAGATATATAACACATAAAACGGAAGTGTCTACATTAGGACATTATAAAATAAGCTTTGGACGAATTACTTTTAATATGAAAAAGGTGTTTTATAAGATAGCTGTGCGAATTTATTTAACTCTAATTTAAAATCTGTAAAACTAGAGCAACAAAGAAAAAAAGTGTAATAGTATGCTAAATCTTTATACTGCATAACGTCTTTGAAAATTAATAATACATCACAAAACCTTGAATGGTATAATTTTATTCTGAAGCAAAAATGAATGAACACAAATTAACTTCAATGATTGTTTTATCTTATAAAACGTTTTGATTTTGCAACATTCGCATACCATAGTGATATGTATTACGGACCTAGCCTATCATTTCCCCTACATTACCGTGTTCCTATTGAAGAAAAGATAAAACATTTATGTATGATTAGTATATTAAGTGCATAGACGACTTCCGAAGAGATAAGATCATACTCATTCATACTATAACCACAGGGTCGGTACTTCATTGTTATAGCTGACGCTAGTGGAACTATTCCATGTATAAAAACACGCAACACAATATATGTTAATTTCATCTGAAATCACAAAAAAACATAACTTTATTTACTTACTATATACACTCTCGAAGACATTACTGTGGAGGGCTATTATAAAATTCCTTACCTGTTTCACCGAAACCTAGCATTTATAATTGACAGAATTAATAGAACAGTATTGAAAGTATTACACATAAGTTATCAACATAATTGCTGAACTTATTAAGATCTGTATAATTACTATCTAAGCGATGTGATACTATGACTTATGCGTGTGTAGATGTATACGGTGTGAGGAGGGTCTCTCTCTTATGGGCGAGAAGGACTTCCTAAAGTCAAAGGTGCGTATTTGTTAGCCATTTATCATTGTCAGAGCAATAATATACGAATAAGGTAGATGTCCCGTTTCTCTGATGATAATTATGTGTAACAAAGCTACGTATATATCTGGTGTGTTAATTAGGAATATGTTACACATCGCTACAGGTGCGTGGTAAGCGTGTACTCTTGAGATCTCTATAATTGATGAGTGATACTATGTATGTATTCGTGGATTGACTTAAACACAGTTTCTGACATTGAATGATGTCTCATGGTACGTGCTTGTGTCGGACATCTTGAATACTACCAAATCAAAGATATCCGATTCTTTCTTTACTCTTAAAACTCTTAAAAGATTTTTCAACGTATTTTCGTATTTTGAAACGTATTGTTCCGTAAATGTTTCCACTTTAGATGCCAGGAATAATGTACGACAGGCGGGGTGACACATATATTTATGTTAGTGGTATATTCTCCAACACTTGGACTCCCTTATTTATCTGGCAGATGACCCAAGCGGGATCTGTGATTATACCGAGATAGACTATCACTTGATATTTCAGAGATGAAAATTCGAGATACGATTATCTAATTTGGGGACATATTTGGAATTCATATGGAGATAGCCATATTAAATCATAGCTACTCTTTATCGAGGCAGCACGAGGGCGCAAGGCTGTCAAGTCGGAGAAAGGTTTATGTGTGTGTAGCGTTTTAATTTCTGAAGGGCCGAGTCATTGAGGATAAATTTGTATGCTAATGATGCCTGGTTCAAACGTACATCGGTGTTCCGTTCTGTATTTAAACAGTATCATCTCAAGATTTATTTGCCTATTTTCATCATTTTGACCTGTTAACATCTGAGAGTTTTAACATTAGGAGTTAAATGTCCTCGCTGTTCACCTTGGAACCTGGCTATTTTGTTTGAATGGGGAAGTCAGCAGCGTTACTAAAATGTATATCACATCTGTAATCATTGTTTAGTCCATTTAGAGTTTTAAAAAAAGTAAAAGATATGCGACAGGTTTAATTTTGTAGGAAAATAGATATTTCAAAATTAACCAGCCCTGTAATATATCACCCAGCTGCAAACCACATTTAAGAATTCAAAAGTGTATAAAAACATTCCCAACTAGAACAAGGTCTTGCCAGATTGTAATTTTAGATGAAGTAAGAACTATTTAATTCCATCTCAGGGGAATGTAATTGTGGCAGGGTACGGAGTAGATAATAGCCGTAAAAATTTAAGTGAATTGTTGGAATACATTACTTCAAGACTGTATGGGCGTGAAATGTTTGAATGTCTAAAATCCTGGGCTTTTTTTTGCCCTACCTTCTCCGTTCTCAACACATCCTAACGCTATCAAGAGTAGCCCGTTTCGCTATCGTGAAAGTACGAAAACTTAACATATGGTTCTGTTTTGGTGGTAATTTTTAGTCACATGTATTACATTCCGTTTCACCCTCAGATAGGATGTTGGAACTGGGGGAGTTACGAGGCACGTAAAATCTACCATACACCCAAGCCTGCCTACTCTCGAGGGAGGATGAGGGTCACTTCCCTGCTATCTCTACCAGTCCCTGGGATGAGGGTCACTTCCCTGCTATCTGTACCAGTCCCTGGGGTGAGGGGGTTGTACACGCGTAGAAATGGGGGTATGGGTTTTACACTTCCTCTACTTCTATTCACCTGTTTTAGCTTATGTTCGGGTTCCTTCACCAACGCTGAATGGCTGTGTAAAACCACAACACTTACGTACTCTAGGAGACTACTGCACGTGCTCAGGCATGCCAGCTCCTTCTGTCCCAACTAATGTCAGCCAGTACTTTGGTTCTTCAAGGCATTGCTGGGATTGTGTTTTGATTTCATCCATCCCTGTCCTGCTAGTGACCAGTACGCGTGGATGTCTAAGAATAGAAGAAAAAGACGTCTTCTTCAGGCATTATTAATGAAGCTGAGCAGGCAGGTGTGTTGGGCGACTTTCTACTGTAATTTATCGGATAGGGTCTGTTTCATGTCTCAAGCGATTACCAGGTCAGTTTAGTATTTCACGATTTTAGAGTAAGGGGTGCTTCGTGGGGCTGCAACGAGATGTGATGGAACACATTATCTGGCACTTTATACTGTGTTTTACATACAATAGCCTGTTAAAGTGCATATGTTCTAATACATCAAGGCATTACTTTTATTAAGGGAGAAAATTGTTTTTATAGCACACAACCCTGCGTTCTCCCCGACGTAGTTACCGTATTCTATTATACAAGGATGTGAGCACGTTAATTTCTCGCTTCGGGGTCTTTTATTAGGACCGTGAGTAACGCGAATTCTACCGAAAATAGGCTATGGTAAAGGAAACTATTCTCGTGCTGATGTTGAGAAGAACTAACGAAGTTAGCAGTGTTTTGACTGATAAACCGTAGCGTTAGGCGGGGGAAACGAGTAGGTCAGAATCCTCATTCACAGGTGCAAGCACAGACCTCCTATTTATCAAAGCAGTTCTGACACTAGCGATAGCCTCAAACTTCACAAGAGAATTTGCATTTGTTTATGTTACAAGAGATTGCAGCTGATAAAACCGTACTGCGGGGGCTCACCACGGGGGTTTACCGTGGCTGTATATACCTGTGTTATTGTGTTCTAATCCGGGGAATAAAGCGAGGATCAAGTGTGGTACGATACAGTGATATTTCTATTGTCAAAACTAGTTACACTATGTTAGTGACCGTTTAGGGGAGTAGTTATTAATCAAGGGAAGGCTGCTTTGATAAAACCACGAAGAAGCCGACACATAAGCTATCGAAAACACTCGGGAAGGGTTTAATCTTATTGTCAATTTCTGTGGATACTCCTCATTTTCAAAGAATGATATTAACTTATTATAGTGATTGTCTGCCTTTTCGATGCCCTTACATGCCTTCACCGAACTTGTGTATTTTGTGATGATGCCATGAATGTTTGATCTGTGTTATAGCAAACATGGATATTAAAATAGAGAAAAAACTCCATGAAAAAAAATTAAAATTAAAAATTTTAATTATTGTGTTCGTTATATGTTGTGTTAAATGTTACTGCATCATTTAATTGGTACACGGAGACGAACGGGACGTTATTATGAAAAACTCTTACTCCATGGTTGATAGATTTGCATATTTGTTATGTTGATGATATCCTACACGCTTTCTTTTATAAAGACTGCAAAAGCAAACAAACCGCACTACATCAGGAATTCATGGTTGAAGTAACCTTTACTCGAACTGAAGCAAACACAAACGACCCGAGGAGATCTAAGCTCCCCACGTGACTGAAGCTGGATTCCGGTCAAGCGTAAGAATTGTATAATCGGCGAACAGTACCAAAGACACATATTTGGATATGAGCTGATTGAAATTCTTTCGCATTCGAGACTTTTTGACATTTTTTCTTTATGACAATCATAAGGGATTCTTGTAGGTTTGTGACTGACTTACGTTACATGGACATTAAAGCGTTGTCGTTTAATCGCTGTATAAAACTAACGTATGGTTGGAATATAATATAACACTTCGTTAAATAATTATTCAGTCAGTTGTCAAAAAGCGTGACAGTGGCATTTAAATCATCTTTTACAAATTGATAAATAATTAGGATAAACTCGAAATTATATTCTATGCATCACCTAAATGTAAGTAAAAGAAAAACTAAACATACCACACCAATGTCAAAACGCAAGAACGAAAACGTAATTGGAAGCAGCTACGAAAAGACAACAGGGCACCAAAATAAGATATCATTGTTTACCAGAATATCGGATGCTCCTGGAGGGTACGCGTTTCCTTACGCTACACTAGACATCTAACATTAAGCTTTCTGTCAAATTCAAATAATCTACTGGTTTTTGAAATCATCTGTGTAATATATAGATGCTGAATAAATGGTGTTGAATTTAGGAAATATAGAAAGCAAACGCGCAAATTCCTTTTTTGTGTGTGCAAAAATAGCAAGATATTGCATAGGATCAAGAGTCACAACACCGTAGTTGATGAACTAGTCTGTCACTTAACAGCCCGCCACCAAAAAAGGAAAACGCATGTATAAGATGTGTTGTAAATACAAAAAAAGACTGCATTGTCATCAAAAGGAGAAAAATGTACCACAGCGTCATCACAAATGGACAAAATATACCACAGCGCCATCACAAAATGACAAAATATACCACAGCGCCATCACAAAAGGTCAAAAAAGCCACAGACCCATCTCAAAAGAACAAAATATTCAGTGCCATCACAAAATGGCAAAATATACCACAGCGCCATCACAAATGACAAAATATACCACAGCGTCATCACGCCAGAACGAAATCAGGGGTCAACAAAGGGAGCGCCGGAGACACCAAAACAAAATGAAAGGCATCATTAAAGTTATTCCACAAATGTCATCTCGTGACATTTAGCTGGCTGAGAAAACTAAGAGATGTACCGAGATATTCAAATGATGGTTGGTATAAACGAATAACAGTATACAGCGGGCACCGACTGTTGTAGCCGGGAGCAGACGAGCACCACTTGTCTAATCAGTAACATTCCTCTACAAGACTAAGGGATATCATATATAATGAAAAATCGTTAAGCACAAATTTTATGCAAAATCATGCATGTTTTGGTACCTACTGACCCGACGCTTTATCCTTTTAGCATTACAATGAATATTAGCACACATTACACGTTCAGAAGTGAGACATTAAATGTATGCACGTCCATGTACAAATTAAGCACCGGTAGACATTTACATACGTCCAGGTAGTGTTACGGTTTGATATTCAGCGCTTACCTACAACCCGTGAAAGACATAACGTTTCATGGTCATACACAAATTGAAAGCATCTGCTCATACTAACAGTCTTCGTGAGAATAATGATTTTGTTTTCAATATTTTAAGGAATGTTTAAAGTCTTAAGTGGTTCCGTTTTCTGGCATGTTGGCAGGTGCCTTCTCTATCACTAATGAGGGATTAAACCCAAGTCGGGATACCGTATGCTTTAGTCTGAGCGTACATTGTTGACATCCAATTATTCTAGAGTGGACCATGATCGTTTACTTTGAACAACAGTCTCTATTCAAAGCCAAGTTCAAATCGATTAATTAGAGTAAATGGCTGAACTGAACAACAGTGGTTAACGTTAAAAAGTGCCAAGAGGGGCCTTTGAAATATGTTGTCCATCTCGGTGATTGGCAGATGAATTAAGCTCACCCTCTAACACCACTCCCTACAGTAGTTTGTTAAAGTTACCCTTACCCAAAGGTCAGCGGATACACTGCTGGGTACTCTGTTAAATGCAGAAAATCAGGACTTAATATTTCCCATGGACAAGGTCAGATTGAGACAGAAGGGTGCTGTTCTCCATTGGTTTGGTTATTATTATAGCGTCCCCAGTTTTGAGGGCCACTGAAGAGATTGGACGAGTACGAATACGGTTCAACGAACTTCACTAAAGTGAGTTCCCCACGGATATCAGAAATAAAGGAGAGCATGTCTGTACAAAAATATTTTATTCTAGTCTCAAATAATTATATATCAATACCAAACCAAAGATCAGTCGCACAATTTTATGAATTAATTGCATTAAAACACCAGATATATTATATATATATTGATAAAAATAGCATTTACATTTACATTTACGGCGATACTGCAAAGGGCCGTCGAACAGCATCAACTTGCAGGTAGACTTGGCATAAAGAAATAACTTGAAGAGCGGTTAAAGACTATACTACCGTATATTGTGTACAATGAGAGATCCCTGGAATAAGACGGAGCTAACCTGGAGAATACAGTAACATGAATTTACCTTATTTATATATAATTTAATCTTGCTTGTAACAAGCATTTTCAAATTTGGCTTAAAACGTAAAACAATGACGTCGCCATTTGTAACGTGGCTTTTGATTGGCTGATACAGCAGCGCAATAATTTCTAAGAGAAAAGAGCCCATCAATAAAAGTGGATGTCCAGAGGGATTGTGTATAGTAATTTAAATTATAACGATTAACTTGAATATATGTTTCATGTTATGGAGCTATAACACAAAAAAACCCGGAGCGACTTATTTAGAGTACACTCCGGGTTTTTGTGTTATATCTGGATAACATGAAAAATATATTCAAGTTAATCCTTAGGTACAGTATTTATATATAAAACAGAGCTAACCAGGAGAATACAGTAACATGAATTAACCTTATTTATCTATACAGGATGTATATATAAGACAGAGATAACCAGGAGAATACAGTAACATAAATTAACCTTATTTATCTATACAGTATTTATATATAAGACAGAGATAACCTAGAGAATACAGTAACATGAATTAACCTTATTTATGTATACAGTATTTATATATAAGACGGAAATAACCAGGAGAATACACTAACATAAAATACCCTTATTTATCTATACAGTATTTATATATAAGACGGAGATAACCTGGAGAATACAGTAACACGAATTACCCTTATTTATCTATACAGTATTTATATATAAGACAGAGATAATCAGGTAAATACAGAAACATAAATTAACCTTATTCATCTATACAGTATTTATATATAAGACAGAGCTAACCTGGAGAATACAGTAACATGAATTAACCTTATTTATCTATACAGTATTTATATATAAGACAGAGATAACCAGGGGAATACAGTAACATACATTAACCTTATTTATGTATACAGTATTTATATATAAGACAGAGATAACCAGGAGAATACAGTAACATAAATTAACCTTATTTATCTATACAGTATTTATATATAAGACAGAGATAACCAGGAGAATACAGTAACATAAATTAACCTTATTTATCTATACAGTATTTATATATAAGACAGAGATAACCAGGAGAATACAGTAACATAAATTAACCTTATTTATCTATACAGTATTTATATATAAGACAGAGATAACCAGGAGAATACAGTAACATAAATTAACCTTATTTATCTATACAGTATTTATATATAAGACAGAGATAACCAGGAGAATACAGTAACATAAATTAACCTTATTTATCTATACAGTATTTATATATAAGACAGAGATAACCAGGAGAATACAGTAACATAAATTAACCTTATTTATCTATACAGTATTTATATATAAGACAGAGATAACCAGGAGAATACAGTAACATAAATTAACCTTATTTATCTATACAGTATTTATATATAAGACAGAGATAACCAGGAGAATACAGTAACATAAATTAACCTTATTTATCTATACAGTATTTATATATAAGACAGAGATAACCAGGAGAATACAGTAACATAAATTAACCTTATTTATCTATACAGTATTTATATATAAGACAGAGATAACCAGGAGAATACAGTAACATAAATTAACCTTATTTATCTATACAGTATTTATATATAAGACAGAGATAACCAGGAGAATACAGTAACATAAATTAACCTTATTTATCTATACAGTATTTATATATAAGACAGAGATAACCAGGAGAATACAGTAACATAAATTAACCTTATTTATCTATACAGTATTTATATATAAGACAGAGATAACCAGGAGAATACAGTAACATAAATTAACCTTATTTATCTATACAGTATTTATATATAAGACAGAGATAACCAGGAGAATACAGTAACATAAATTAACCTTATTTATCTATACAGTATTTATATATAAGACAGAGATAACCAGGAGAATACAGTAACATAAATTAACCTTATTTATCTATACAGTATTTATATATAAGACAGAGATAACCAGGAGAATACAGTAACATAAATTAACCTTATTTATCTATACAGTATTTATATATAAGACAGAGATAACCAGGAGAATACAGTAACATAAATTAACCTTATTTATCTATACAGTATTTATATATAAGACAGAGATAACCAGGAGAATACAGTAACATAAATTAACCTTATTTATCTATACAGTATTTATATATAAGACAGAGATAACCAGGAGAATACAGTAACATAAATTAACCTTATTTATCTATACAGTATTTATATATAA